CCCCAACCTCCTGCAACTCCATCCTGCTCCCTGCCCTGTCCCCAGGTCCCATTCACCACCCTGGCTGGGTAGTGCTCCGGGCCCCACTCCCTCCCTCACCATGAAGCCTCAATTTGCGCCCCCATCCCATCCCTCCCCCACAGACTTACCTGCAGGGTACTGCTCTCCCAGCTGCGTTCCTGCATGCAGCTGCACGTATGCACATGGCATCCAGGGGCCCCAAACAGAAGACATATTATATGTAAAAACCAGCTACACCAGCCAAAAAAGAGCCAACAGCCAATAATGTTAATCTTTCTTTTGTCGGTGCCAATCCAATATGGCACCGATATATTGGTGCACCTCTACATTTAACCCATCTGTGCTGGTTTCTCCATCCACACAACAGGATTATCGTACCTTCAAGCAGCATGTAGATAAATCACCTTAAAGCAATATGCCAATCATCATCTGGCAATTTCAACATAAGTCAGATTCAAATCTCATATGCACAGCAAGGTTTCTGACTCAGATCTCTAGAGACAGATGTGCGTTCAATTTCAGTTTCGGGGCAAAGGTCACAAACGGCTCCAGTCAGAAACAGAAGTCACGTCCCCTGGACCCACCACCTAATCATGCCAGGCTCCGTGTCCACTGCGCAGGCATTCAAGGTGAACCTTTATGCCCCACTCAGTATCCAGCCTTCCCTTATCTCAAAGCTTGACTCCTGGCAGTATTTGAACATTTTATTTTTTTTTTTGGCAAGGCCTTCACAGCATTTTTGTAGCACCTCAATTATATTAAAAGTTACCCTTTGTTCCAGCCAGAATGATCACTCTGCAGACAAATTTGCATTAATTATATCACAAGGCACAGTCCTCCCATCCCCCATTGCAGCAATCTAAATATTAATGATTTTAACAGGAAAAGGAGTTTTAGAAAAATTAGGCTTAGCATTTTTAACACTTCCCAAATGTGTAGCATAAAACGGCATGGCTTCCCTTTGGCTAGTACCAGCTGCTTGTGCTGAAGGAGAGCTGCATAGGAACTCAGACCACTTTGAACAGGGACACTGTGACAGTGCAGTGAAACAAAGAGCAATGGGAACCTTCACTGAACCCACATTTTTCTAGGTCCCTGGAGGGAAGGAAAAAAAAAAAAAAAATCCCCACAGTACAAATGTATAAGATCTTGGTGCAACACCTAATAGTCCCAGGAAGTAAGGAAGAGATTAGAACTATCCAAAAGCGAGTACTTTAAAAGTTGTATCTCGGAGGCTGCTTTGGTTTAATTAATAGTTTGTACAGTTTTATAGGGGTTTTTTTTTATTTTACTTTTAAATAGAGCTCTTTATGGTAGGTGAAAGGAACTTCACCCCACTAAGTTGATGAGATGAGTTATTACTGTTTCTTTTAGAATGTAGTACCTATCATAATTTTGTCTCATTTAGATTTAATATCTCCAGCCATAATAAATTAGATTTCACTTTACACAAGGTTGCACTCAAGACTTAAAGTTCTGCAGAACTATGTCGGTGGATCCAGGAGGGCAGAGCAAGAGGGCGCAGACACTCCCCACTGACTGTGCAGTGCAGCCTCAGTGAGGTCTCCAAGCTCACCAGCTTGTCAGCACAGCTCCTGATGGAACCCAATTTTAAGGGGAAGATTAAGGTACTCAGCAAAAATAGTTGCTTTAACTATTTTTCAGGGACCTGAACAGGAAGAAATAGAGTTGCAGTTAGGCACATATGCCTACTTAAATGCTGAACAGGTGGGATAGGATCTGACCCTGAATGTTATGCAGAAAAAGTTTAATAAACTTGGGTTAGGAATTTAAGGCATACAGGCAGAAAGATAATGTAACTAAAGACAAAGATAGGGAAGAAATTGCACCTCATGTAAAAATTATTTTAGGAAGCACTTTGGAAGCTGCCAAGAAATATCTTTACAATCTGCTCAATAAATAATTATTTAAAAAATTGGTAGAATTCAAGACTTTCCATGGAAAAAAAGAAAAGACAAAGAGCTGCAATACCATCCCTTTCAAGTTTTTTTTCACAATTATCCACATTCTTGCGCACACAAAATTTTTAATTATCTAAGATTTTTTGTTTTAAGAAATCAATATTTATTAAAGTACAAGACACTTGGAGGCAGGATATCTTATGCCAAAGAAAGCAACACATTTTCTTTTCTATTCTTTCTAATAATTTTTAAACTCATTTACAGCCACAAATGATCATTAAGAATTCGCTTTTCATGGTGGGCTAAGGCAGGAGTGGCCAACCAACATTAACCTAGATTTTTTTCAGTTTCCTGTTCTTGTTCAACTAGGTCAGAGTTCAAGGATAAGCATCCCACATCCACAGGTATCTGAAATAACCATATGTTATAGGCTTCTAAGTATTTCTAGACAATCCTGTTCTTGTAGTTACAAGTAAACTAAGTAACATTTTTTGTCCTTGATGGTTCATTGCAGATACACCTTTGTAAGAATACTTATAATAAGAAAAGAAACTAACAAGAAATGGACTGTTTTAAAAAGAACTAACACAAGTCTGACGGCAACAGAACTCCTGACCCTGATTTAAGGTATCCATGACCCACACATACAGATATAGACTATCAGGAAAAGAACGAGATATACTTCTGTTTTAGTAGGTTTGGTGTAGGTTGTAGCCATGACAGCCCAGAAAATGTATGAAAAGTGACGGGTTTTTGTGATGTCTGTTATTAAATCAACTGCAAAATTGGGGGAATTTCTGGACACAAGTTCAGGCATAAAGTGCTCTTTATCAGATCTGAGAAAAAAGCAGACATACGCCAAGTTAAATAACAGAAAGGAAAAAAAAGTCTGTGTTTAGCTTTATATAAATCTGCTTCAGGGAATGGAGGAAGCATTTGAAATAGGAACGGAAGACGTGAAGTTGTAAAGACAATCTAGATAGTGGAAGACCAAAACCATGGAAGAAGGAAGAGGGTCATTAATACCTGTAGAATGCAGGGAGATCAGTAGGAGTGAATGGTAGATTGTAATGAGCCATAAAGCCACTGCTTTTGTTAAGTCGAGATTTTCAAGTGTTCAGTCAAGTTATGAGTTTCTGTTCTCAGCCCTGCCTTAAGGTATAGATTCCTTTTCAGCATGAGGATTGTGAAGGTAGAAAGGGAGTGATTATTCAGTGCATTTTGATCAACAGTAAGTTTACTTCTGATGATGAATCTGACAATGTTTGGGGGGTGTTTAAAGACCAAGAGCAGAGAGTGGGGGGAATGGCTGGGAATATTTTTCTCAAGGTCTGATTTCTTTTCAAATATATGCTTTGGCTGTTTGAGCCTTCTTATAGGTTCAAATGTGGGGTGGTAGGTGACAACCAAGGGTGTGTGGTCAGCAAAGGGTTTGCTTTTCTTTTAGTGTAGTTTGTTGTTGTGGAGTATCTGGGTGGCACTTCCAAAGATATGGTCTATTTCTCTGCTGGATTGTCTTTGCTGGCTAAAAAAAACACTTCAATTTGGCAAGATGGGTGTCATGAATAATCTCAGAGCAGATGCAGTGGTATCTGAAGGCCTGATTGTAGATCATTGCTTTTTTGGTTTGTTTGAAGTGATTTCTGTTTTTGTGAATGTAGCTGTGATGGTTCATGGGTTTTCTGTATATAGTTCTTTGTGAGAGTCCTTCTGGATATAGACAGTGGTGCCTAGAAAATCAGTGCTAGTGTAGGAGTATTGCAGAGAAAATTTGATTGAAGGGTGTAGTTGTTAAACCTGCAGCGTAAGTTAGTGAGTCCAGGTGTTCAGTTCAGATGGTAAAAACCATCAGATGATGAAACTTCCACCTTTGGGTAGCTCATTGTGAGAGGCTGCTGTTGGATCATCTTCACTTCCCCAGTGCAAGGGTCTAATCCTTGTCTTCTCCTTCAGTCTCACCCCCATGACTTATTGTAATAGAGAAAAGGAGTGGATGAATATTATTTGGAGGACAAAGGGTTGTTTCACAGGGCTCCTCCTCCTCTACACCCTGTCCATTTCCTCTCAAGACACCAATGGTTGATTTCATTATGGAATCCAATTACCAATTTGTTTCACCTTGGACAGATCACCAGGGGAGATCAATTACTAATCACAGTCCTTTAATTTATTAATGCAGTCCAAAAGGAACAGGATCCAGTATAAAACAAATTAGCAAATGTTCCTTAATTCATGAGCTTCACCAAAGAAGAAACTACTTGGATGCTAAAGTCCATCCCTTGACTCCAGGTTTGGACGTAACCAGTCCCAGCCACTCTTTAGTTAAGCTATTTAGTAATAAACAAAGCCAGAAGAAAATACCATGGATCTTGGCTCTCCACACACAGCAATATACAACTCCATGTGGTCTCTCTGCCTCCAGTCTTCTCAGTACTACCTAACTGCTCTGGGTTTGTCTCTATGTGCACCTCTTGCTAGTCCAGTCATATATATAAAAGCCTTTGGGAGTGACTTTTTCATTTTTTTTTGAAATTCATAACTGAGGTACTAAAGAAGAAATTTAAGCTGGAGGTCACTTTTCTAATCTTGGCATTTCACTGCTATCTTAAAAAATGGTGGCCATGACTAATGAGATGAATAAATGTTGGTATCTCGGTACCTATGAGGCCAATTTTGATTTTCTAAACAACTTTAAATAGGTATGGCAAAAACCTATGAACATTTTTTTTTGTCTTTTGATGAGTAATGGCCTAATGTTTGGCAGCTCTAAGCCTTTAAATGCAAAACAACAACATTATAGACCTCTTTTTAAGGCAAGACATGTAACATATAATGCTATACATTTTTAACATTTTGGTAATCCTATCCTTTTGTTGCTACTTCTTATCTACATTAATTTTTTATTTCTTCTTTTTTAGTGAATAAAGAGAAGATGAATAGTTAAGAACAATGGCTGATAGAACAGGGGCTACACGTGAAAAAACTTCAACATCCAAAAAGAAGCCCTTACAGCAACCTTCACCAGGATACATGGAATGAACTTGCACAAAAAGCTCAAGAATGGAAAGACTTAGGCACAAGTTTTGATATCTTTATGAGCAAATACAGGTTGACGATAAGCCAGAGAAAGTGCATAAAAACTAAGTTAAATGTTGTAGGCGTTAACCTGAAGCATGCAGAGGCGCACAATCTGTTAAGTGCTGCAGAAGAGACCGATGCTGAAGTTACTGATGAACCAACTGAATCACAAGTAAGAAGTAGTCGAGGATGTTCCTCGTTAGTTTCTTTGTGTGTAATTTGTGAGGAACCCCCTTGGAAGGCAACAGCACCAGAGACTCCCTAAGCAGTAGGTTATCTATAAAATTTCACTGAACTGAAATAGACAGTGCTTGGAAAATGTTGAAAGGTGCAGTCTAATATGTTCAAGATGAGAAAAAGAAGAATGTTTGCAAGCCTTATTTACCAAAACAGTGATGGTGGAATACTGAAAGCGGCAGCACTGGATACAGGTTATCATAAAGACTGGTGGAAATCATTTCTCAGACCTGTCTATAACGAGCACACAAGAGAAACTAAAGATCACTGACAGCAGCAAAAATGGGTAGCAGAGAAACAAAATGAGGCTTTCTGGCAGCCCTGTGCTTCTCTTGTTGAGAGTCTAGAAATCTACAAAAAGAGGTATATACACTTTGAGAAGTATTCTTTGAGTATGCACAGCTATAAGGAGATTTGATGATCACCAATGAAGAAATCTTGAAGGCTTGTGATGACAGACATGCTCCACAATCTCTGTAGAAGAAGCTTGAAGATCATTTTGAAAAGACATTGGGTTTCACTGCAGATATTGCAGAAATAAATCATCCATAGTTTATTCCCCCAAGCACGGAGAAGCATATGTTGAAAGTGGAGTTAACAGCTGGGGTACAGAAACTCCTAAACTGATACGGAATGTAGCCAAGCTTCTTTATTGCAAACATTGGACAGAGGCTGGAATCCTATGGTCATGTGAGATCAATGAACTAAAAGAGGACAACACACCCAATGACATTGACAATGTTGTGGCATTACTTGCTAATGGTTTTGAAGAAGGTCATGCTGGTCGTAGAATGACTGAAACCAGCTGTACATTTTCTGTTAGATGCAACAGTCTTTCAAATCACAGAAAAATGACAGCCAATACAAATCCCATTATCTATGTACGTTCACAACCTGATGGCTAATAAGGAACTCATCCAAATTCAGAAGGCAATGAAGCTTGGCATTTCTTATAATGGTGTTCTGGATGAATTTTCATAGTTTCATAGTTTGTAGGGTTGGAAGGGACCTGAGCAGATCATCAAGTCTGACCTGCTGCCATGGCACGAAAGAGTACTGGGGTCAAACGACCCCCGCAAGGTGATTGTCTAGCCTTGTCTTAAATACTCCCAAGGTAGGAGCCAGTACCACTTTGCTTGGAAGTTGGTTCCAGATCCTAGCCGCCCTGACAGTGAAGTAGCGCCTCCTGACGTCTAATTTGAATTTACCCTCTGCCAGCTTGTGACCATTATTTCTAGTTACTCCTGGTAGCTCTTGAGGGAACAGGGACTCCCCCAATGCCTGCTGGTCCCCTCTGACTAGTTTGTAACAGGACACTAGATCCCTCCTCAGCCTTCTCTTGCACAGGCTGAACAGGTTCAGGTCCCTGAGTCCCTCCTCATAGGACCTGCCCTGCTGCCCCCGATCATGCGAGTGGTCTTTCTCTGGACCCTCTCTATGTTATCCACATCCCTCTTGAAGTGCGGCACCCAGAACTGGACACAGTACTCCAGCTGCGGCCTGACCAGTGTGGCACAGAGGGGGAGGATCATCTCCTTGGACCTGCTTGAGATGCATCTGTGGATGCATGACCTTCCTGACTGCATCCCCACACTGCCGGCCCATGTTCATCTTGGCATCCATGATGACTCCAAGATCCTTTTCTGCCTCTGCACTGACAAGAAGGGAGTTCCCCAGCCTGTAGGTATGCTGCTGGTTCTTCCTCCC